TAGCATGTAAGCTAGGAACAGATAAAAACAAAACAGGTGATGGAGATGGAGGTGGAGAAACTGGTGAAACGGGAGATGGATCGCCTAAATAATACAATCCATCTCTCTCATGTCCCCTGATAATAATCCTCCTCGTACTCAGGTTCTGTAAATAACACGAATCAGATAAGAACACAATTGCACAGTGAAAATCTCTAGCTAACTGATGTACAAATAATAGATTCATGACAAGCTTTGGCGCATGAAACACCGAACGTAATGTAAAGTCATCTGTGAGGCGGACTGTACCCCTATTAACAATAGAGGCATGTGTACCATCTGCTAACTGAACTTGAGAATGTAACTGTTCATCAAAAGAGATAAAATGATAGGCCTCACTTGTCATATGACCATTAGCACTTAAGTCCAGCATCCAAAGAGGAGACGGACTAGCGCAAGTATGAAAGACACGAGGTATACCTGTAGTAATGGCAACAGTAGTAGTCGAACCTTGAGAAGTCAAGGCTGACATAAGTATATTCAAGCGAGAAGTGATAGCATCCATATCACTCTGCCAAGGAGGAGCAGTAGTAGTAATAGCAGGAGTAATGACAGTAGGTGGTGGTGCCTTAGCAATGACAGTAGTACGGTTGCGAGGAGGCAACTTAAGCTCCGGATGGAGCTTCCAACAAGTAGCCCTGAGATGTGCTAGTCCGCTACAATAATCACACTGATGAGAATCCCTATATCTACGCTGATGTAGGGTACCTTGACGGCGTTGGGCCGAGCGTTGTCGACCCCTATACCCGGTGGAAGTACTAACAAATGTCTCAACAGTAGGGATCTCAACTCCCTTAGTAGTAGTCATATCATCAATAATACTAGGGCACTCGTGACAGAAAAACAACTCTAAGATAAATAGATGGATAAAATAAGAGAGAACAATATACCTCCAGTCGAACAATAGTGACAGATAAAGAAGGTCCAGAAAACTTTCAAAATAATCAGGTCACGGTGCCTAAAAATTCAGTAAATATAAATAAATGATTTACTGCATCAAGAGCAAATCAATGAAAAAGAGAAATCAACCCCTCTTAAAAGGTCATACGGTCCCGAATAATTAGGCACACGAAGGCATAACTTGAAGTTGTGAACACGACCCAACAGTAGGCTGGTCCACTAGAATGGGTACCATGTTGGGTTTGGGACTGGACTGGGTTTGGTACTGGACTGGACTGGATTATGTAGGTACTGGGTTTGGTTGGCTTGAGAGGCAAAGAGGCAGAGAGGCAATCGGTGCTTTATGACCAGTTTGGTGGGCTGACAGGCAGTCGCTGCTTTATGATAGCAATCGGTGCTTTGTGGTTTCTGTTTTTTTTTTTTTTGGGTTGGGTTTGTCGATGATGTTTCTGGTTTGTGACCGACAGTGGGCTGTCGTTGGGGGACTGGATGGCTGGTGGTAGGGAAGGTGATGAAGGCTAGGGTTAAGGTTAGGATTAGGGTTAGAGATGGAGGTTAGGCTTTGATACGAAGAAGAGAGCTATGTATGAGTCAAAGGGATACAAACTAAGTGTAGAGCCCCCGTATATATAGTCAATGAAAGTTACAATAAGGATAAAAAGGTAAAAAAGAAAAACTTAATAAACTCTAATAAACTAAACTGTTATATCTCCAACAGAGGTCAATATCTCTTTTAAGTGGTAAGAACTCCTTCTTCTTAGCTAAGTTATGATTAGGGTGGACATTAAAACATACGTTTAACTTCATATTTGGGTTATAATATATCCAAAAAAAAAGCTAGAATGATTAGTCAAAGGTCTATAGTAAAGTCCATGAGGACATTAGTTCATGCATGAATTTGTATGTATGAATAGGGTATGCATATTTTATTTAAAATTTTTCATTTAAATTAATCTAAACAAATACTCTTAATAGTGTTTACATTCTAGAATTCGTGGGTAACAACCTTAGAAACAATTTGAGGGAGCTTGGGTGGAGTTTTGTATGAATAGATAAGCTGGAAATTAAATTCGTCTATCTCAGGCTGCTTGGATACCCTATAAGAAAATGATAATTACTCCCTCTAGAAAACTCAGAACGACGCACTGTTGCGTTGAAAACTAGAAATGCAGAATTTTCCGTTGGTGTAAGGTAGAGCACCTAGATATGTCTGGGTAGTATTTAGCTTAAAGATGATTTAAAGTACATGATTGATTGTACCATTTTAGATTCAATTGTCGATTGAACAATAACCGGAATAGGATCTATGGGTTGTCGTTTTAGAGCAATTGGCCTCTTCGACATCTTGGTTAGACGCTTGGGTAGAAGCTCCCTTCTTTTAATAAAACTCTCTGCCAATGTGCCTCTTCGATGTTTTGGATAACTTTACTTAAATTTTCTATCGCAATAGATCCTCTAGGTCTCGAGCATTCTTAGGATGCTCCCAAGAATCACGGTATGCACACTCCAATGAGTTTGATCTTCACCTAGACAACTTCTTTTCCAAGGTTTGAGGTTGGATAGAAATCACAAGATGACAACCTTTGGATTTAGGGATCTAGGGTTGTGGTGCATGCTCTTAAGGTGTAAGATTTATTTTCTTTCTAAAAATACTCAAAAGAGGCTTACCTAGATGTAAGAAAGATTCTCCCTAGGCTCAAAATAAGGACAATCTTGGCAATCAAGAAAACACAGATTCACGTACAACCGCTCGAGCAATGGGAGGACGATCATAGGGCGGTGATCACTAGAAAAAAATAAAATTTCAATCCGACCTTGGAGAGTAGGACCGCTCGAACAACCAAGGAACCGCTCGAGCGACTTCTAAGACAGCTCGAGTGACCTTTGATGTCCAATTGCTCCACCATTTGGCCTTTGCCCAATTTTTTTCTAAATTATTAAGAGACTGTTCTAGCGAATGCTAGCAAATATAGGGCGGTCCCTACTAGTTTTTTAAGAATAAAATTCATAAAAAAAAAAAAAAAATTTATCCACTTGAACACTAAAGGGTGATATTCAATAAGGGTACACTAGAGGCTCAAATTATGTTTTCAAAATATCAAACAATTTAGAAAATCTTTTTTTTGAAAATCACTTGGAAGCCATACACGGATCAACACCGATTTTATTTGAATACTAATCTTTCTAAGTTTATTAAACCAATGGATCATCTTAGATTTCTAGGTTATTTCTTATTCCTAAACATGAAGGTGCATACAAAGTTTTTGATGTAGCTTTGACAAGTGATCTCCTTCTTCAATTGATGCTTTTGAATTTTCATCGTTATAGCATTATGACCATGAAATAAATTGAGATTTGCATGGACTCCATGAAATTAATCAATTACAAAACTTGATCTAACACATACTATACGTGCTTATATTTGATATGAGTAGACTCATCCAAGTCACTAATGTAGTGATTCTGAAGTAGATGAGTAGGTGCTTGTTAAAGAACAAGTACACTGAACATGATTATTAACTGACATAAGATTTTTCATATGGATTTTATACCTAACAATATTAAATCCTAATTTATAGTTATACAACTGATTTTTAGACCTGAGACACCATGGTTATCTAGTAAATAGTTTTTTATGTTTTAACCATACAACATATTCATATAATAGCCATATAAATTGAATATATATAATTGGAAATAGTTAGACATGCATGGTGACTTATGAGTATACAATATGAAATCTATCACCCTTTAGTAAGAAAAGAAGAATGCCATATGTGATCTTTTAGGATATGACTCAAGGAGTCCTTGTCCAAAGCATAATGACAATTAGAAAAGAGTTTATAACTGATCATTAGGAGTCACACTCTTAAGATCAAACACATAAGAGTGAATTAGAGACTTAGACAATAATTTTATACCCTCGTAATTCAATTGAGGCATTGTATGATATATAGCAAGATTGAATTGCATAGAAATTGTAAAAAAAATACGTTCTTTACCCACTTCTTGCTATCCAAGGATTTGATCACGATATGCTGCTAGGTGTCATCCATGATTAGTATAAGGCCAATGAATGAAAATAATATAAATGTATCGTTCTTCATAAAGGGAGAATTAGGGGAAGTTTAATTCAAAATAAATCACAAAGAGTTCTAATCTAATATGCTACTTAAACTTAGTATTGAATGCATACAATCAGATATGCTTGAACTTATTGGGTCACACAATAGAATTGATCAAAAATTGAAAGACAAAGGAGAGAAAACTAATTAATAATTAATTGGGGTGAAATTCAAATTAAGTTAATTATGAACTTTATTACAATTAATGATTAATAAATATGTTATTAGATAATTATGAGATAGTTACAACTGAACCCAAACCTATAAAAACCCATAGAGGAGGTGGGTGGTTATAACTACATTCTCTTGCAATCAAAAGAAAATCCATGCCTCGTTGTCTCTCACTCTACTAATTCATCAGAAGTTGAGATGGGTCCTTTATGTTTGTCAATTGGTGTGAATGCAGTAAAGATCAAACAATTCTAAGACTTGTGGTAAATGTCAAATTCACATGTGAAGATTCAAGACTTCTTTAGTGAACATTAGGATCATTACAAAGGTACCTATTAATCTTCTCTTTTCTCTAGATCTAGGGTTCTCAGTTTATATGAAACATAAATAGATCTTGCAATAAGGAATCGAATAATTTTTTAAAAAAAATTCAGTGCATTTCTTATATAATTCCTTACAACATGATCAATCAAATTATTGCTAGACCTGGTAACAATTTCATCCATTAGAAATTGTCTAGCATATTGTTGTCTTTCATAGCTCCAGCAACCAATTGATGGAGAGTCGAGTTCTACTGATATCAACTAATGCAAGGTACGCAAAAGTAGGTTTGGTATCAACAGCAGGTTTCAGCAGCTGGCTTGAAGAGGGCACACCTTATATTTTGGAACAAAAGATCATGATTACATTCTATCTGTCAAGACAGAAAGGCCACCAAATTAATCCCTCCAATGGATTATAAAACGGGAATGAAGTACTCCCTCCAAACTTGTTCCAACAAACTGAGAAGTAACTAAAACTATAAAAGAACATGAATGAACAGTCATTACACCAATAGGCTCTACAATGCACGGAAGAAACTCTACAATGCCTCATTGAAGAATCAAATCTAAAATTCAAAACTCGGAATACATAATTTTGAGCTGCCTAATTAATCTACCACTCAAATGCTTAAATGTTCATCTCTAGGTAAACTCTGAACAGTATCTGACCATCTTCCTGGTGAATGGTCACTGCTATTGGAAGACACTTGAGCTTCTGCTCTTGCTTCTCTGACCATCCTCAAAACTTCCCTCATGACCGGGCGGTTCTCGGGTGCAAGCGAGACACAAGCCATTGCGATGTTCAAAAGAGCACCAAGCTTCTCCTCCGAGACCTCATTACTCGAGGCAGGGTCATCACCAGACTCGGTCTCTTCTTCTCTGACCGATCGTACCCATTGAGGGATATCTGAACCGTGTTCTTGAACAAGGTCTTGGAAAGGAGTCTTGCCAGTCAGGAGCTCCAATAGAAGAACACCAAAACTGTAGACATCGGCTTGCTGCGTGATGGGCTTTCGCACATCACGACATTCAGGGGCTCTGTAGAAGAGGGAAGAAGCACTGGACTCCTCATGTTCCGGGTTTCTGAATGAGGTGAGGCCGTAGTCAGTGAGACAGGACTCGAAGTCGGACCCCAATAATACATTGGAGGATTTCAAGTTGCCATGTGTTAGACCAGGGTTCTGATGGATATAAAGCAGTCCAGTAGCCAAATCCTCTGCTATTTTAAGGCAGGATGTCCAGTGAAGAGGCTTCCCACCACCTGAAGCTCTTGTTCCTGCAAAATAACAGACACAAACTCACTTACCGAGGGAAGAGGTAGGTTAGTCAGAAAGCTTCCTCACCCACAATTCAAAGCAAGAAATAGATTTCATAACATAGTTATATATGTATATTTAATCTGTATTGAATAATAATTGAATCAGATAGTGATATATCCAAATCCGAATCTGAATCCAAATTCGTAAAGCATAATCTCATGCAATCGGATTTGGATAATCAGTTAAAAAAAGATTTAGATGATGAATGGGAGAGGGAGAGAGAGAGAGGGGGGGGGTGAAGAGAGATGTATTCAGGTCATATTTTCAGTATCACTAACAGCCAAGGTAATAATGCATTGGGTTAATAGAATAAGTGAAGGTTGTGTAATTATTTTTTAGAAAAGAGAGAGCAGAATTGAAAATGACCAATTAGACAGCAATACGCAGATTGCTTAGTAATAATTGACTAATTATGAAAGCACTGAAAGCACACAAAAGATTAATCATTTTCTTAACAGACAAGTTCGCTAATAAAATAATTTGACTTGACAACGGTACCGGCAAAAACAAATTAGTACTGTACCTCTAAAATTTATTACTTTAATGACTGATTTTATAATTTTTATGGGTCATTGTACAACCAAAACTTTTATCACTTTGGTGGGTGATTTATCATTTTTGTGCCTGTTTTTATCATTTTTGTAGGAGTTTTTACCACTTTTGTGAGTGATTTATGATATTTGTGGGTACTGTTTTGTAATTATTTTATAATTTTTTTAAGTATCACAACAGTGATAAAAATAACAACAAATATTTATTAATCATAGTGTAGCACTAAAATTTTATTTTTCGATACCAAGACAAATCCAAATATTATTATACAACTAGTGAGACTCGGCTCCAATCACATGACAAGTTTTTTGTTTTTGTTTAGGGTGAGACTATTTCCACTTCAAAAATATTCATTTCCATTCTATTTAATTTATTATTATTAAATTGCTAAATCCATCCCTTCTACATCCTCCCCATTAGTAATTAAGTTTCATCTCATGCTATAAACAACTCTTTAATAAGTAAGAAAAGAAAACAAGAAATACAAATCTATCAAAACTCAAAAGAAAACAAGAAAAAAAATTAAGAAAATAAATGAAGAAATTTGTCGCCGAAAAAATAAAAAACCAAACAAGCTTTCTAATTCACAAAGACTAATCCACAAACGACACACGCTTGCCAAACGAAATAATTTTTTTTATTGAAATTGCCTTTATTGCTTATTCTTAAAACAATCTATATATATATACACACACACACACATAAACTCTAAATAAAAAATTATTAAACTTGAGGTACTAAAACACAACAACAATAATGAAAATCCGCACTACACACATGAAATTAAACATAGAATTAAATCTAGAAGTAATATTAACTTATATCTCATTGGAGACATACATATTGAAATAGCACTTTTATGGGTGTATAAGATGTAATAATGAATGAAACCCTAATTGTAAGAAGATATAAGATAGATTTATTTATTAAAAAGGTGTATATAGCATAAAGTAAACTTAGTTATTAATGGGTTGAGTATAAAAAAAGTGGGTTTAATAGTTTGATAATAAAAAATTAAATAGAATGAGAATGAATATTTGTTGAGTAAAAATAGACCCACGAATAAAACTATGTTGCACAAGTTTTTTACAAAATCTTGCATCTTAAATGATGTGTCAAAATCTCATGCATTGAATATTTTACGGAGTTAGTAAATCCTAGTAATTTAACCACTTGCATTGATATACGATACAAAAATTGACAAATTTTGATTAAAAAAATTTGTTATTAAGAAAAAGCCTACTTTTGTTCGGACATAATTTTGATTAAGAGCCTAAACNGGTGCAAACTGTTCAATATAGAGCAATTTCACCAAGCCAACAAAATCCTTTTTGTGTACCAGAACATAGGAAATCAGACATATCAAAGAGAGCCATTCTGGACAACTGAGGATTGAATGTTAGCTTGGATAATTTTGGTTCAACATCTGCAACAACTATGAAGAGTGCAATCAAAACTTCGTTTCACTCACACATTTAAGCCACAAGACCATGGAAATAATAAGAAAACAGCCAATAAAATAACAAAATAATGCAAAACACAATCATCTTTTGGTAATGGCGGTTGTAATTTAGCTGTAGCCTTCTTCTTCCTGAAAATAATTGATTACAGTAGAAGATCTAAACAGATAATCTACAAATCTATAAATAACAATGTAGTAGAGGCGACACCTCATTCAACGGTTCTTGACAATCTCATTCGAGGGTGTGATATCGTGCTCGAGATAATTTGCAAACTCTTGGAACTTCCGTTTGTTGGGATCATATGAATAAGCAGGCACACGTGACTTAAAAGTTTCATCGGTAAGTAACAANAATAAATTTTCAGTGTAAAAATCTAGAGATGAAATGTCTTCAAAATCTGAAAATTCATGTACTCATTGTTGTTAAGAAAAAAAGTAAAGTCATTTAAATGACGCAGCAACATGATGAGCTAATTTTTATAATTCGGAAACAAAGTGGGGAGTAATGTTTTGGGGTGATATGCCCAAATGCCTTATTAGTGAACTATTTGACTGTTCTTTTTTGTCTTCTCGGAGTAACAATTCAAAAAATAAAGCAGAGGGCACCCTTATTTCAATCTCTAGTGGGCAGCCTGAACAGTAGTTAAAAGTCAGTTGAATTTATCGCACCTCTGGAGGAGTCAATTCTCAACTGTCTTGCAATACATTAAATCAATCGGAAGATGGAAAAGGCCAGAGATGGTAAAAGTGTAAATAGAAGTATCACCAAATGTCAATTTTGGAATAGTAATAATATTCCTAAACTCTCTTCTACTTCGAAGCACAAAACCAAAACACTAACACTAATGTAGTATCTATGGCCCTCCAGCCCCATGGATGTAACAACCAAAACTTTAAGATTTCCATACAAAACAATAATGAATTCAAGTATAAATTTAATAGGCTACGGTTGAAATATATGATGCAAATGTTTATAATAATTAGCTACTGTTGTAAATTTTCCGGTCACATTTAATAGGTCAACCACTTGGCTTCCTTATGTTCATGACTTGCTTTCTATGGAAAATATGGATTGTATATCTATAATCAATCAGTGATCTCAAAATTTTAACTTTTAAATTGTAAATTTCTCATGCTCATGAGTTCGGCGAATGTTTATACTAATAGGCTACTATTGAAATATAGGAAGTGGTAAATACATAAAATTACATAATAAAGCATGTCCCTATCAAAAAAAAAAGAGTTTTTGGAATGAAGTAGCTTATATATTTTGAACCGCGTTGCAAGCAATAATCATTTCGAACCACCTGTTCACAGTGTTTCTAGTAGCAAGTCAAGCATTTCATATTTTAGCAATCTGGTGCAAACTGTTCAATATAGAGCAATTTCACCAAGCCAACAAAATCCTTTTTGTGTACCAGAACATAGGAAATCAGACATATCAAAGAGAGCCATTCTGGACAACTGAGGATTGAATGTTAGCTTGGATAATTTTGGTTCAACATCTGCAACAACTATGAAGAGTGCAATCAAAACTTCGTTTCACTCACACATTTAAGCCACAAGACCATGGAAATAATAAGAAAACAGCCAATAAAATAACAAAATAATGCAAAACACAATCATCTTTTGGTAATGGCGGTTGTAATTTAGCTGTAGCCTTCTTCTTCCTGAAAATAATTGATTACAGTAGAAGATCTAAACAGATAATCTACAAATCTATAAATAACAATGTAGTAGAGGCGACACCTCATTCAACGGTTCTTGACAATCTCATTCGAGGGTGTGATATCGTGCTCGAGATAGTTTGCAAACTCTTGGAACTTCCGTTTGTTGGGATCATATGAATAAGCAGGCACACGTGACTTAAAAGTTTCATCGGTAAGTAACAAAACTCACCTGTAGGGAGGTTTCCAGTAGTAAACATATATCTATGGCGGGTGAAATCAGATGAAATCATGCTCATGAGTTCTGGTTGACAGCATTCCCGACTTATTCTTAGAACAAAGGAGATGAGAAGATGCTTCCTTTTCTGGGATGGCAAGTTGAATAGCCCACAAACGGATATATTCATTAAATAGAAGGGGTATAGGCTCAAAGTTGTAAATGTACATCAGTTTTATTAGGCCATCATTGAAAATGCTGAGGTAGAAGGCAATACAAAGAAATTAAACTGTAGGAGTAAATAGCCTTTCCAAAGTTGTAGATATAAATAATCGGTTACATAAGTCAATTATCAAGATAAAAATGTAATTATAGGTGTAAATAGGGCTAAAATTGGAAAGTAAAAGCTTTGATGGGAGCAGATTTATGACCCCTCCATCCATGGGGATTTACCACTGAATAGAGAAAAATTGGGTATTCCACCAAAGTCGTCCCCTCAGGATCGGGATCTTTTCAAAATATATATAATATTCTAGTTTTATTTAAAATTTATTCTTCTTTTTTTTTTGTGATATAAAATTCCTAATTAAATTTTTATATTCAATGTTTGCTAATATATCACTTTCAATAGATATTATTAGCAAATAGAAAATATTTTTTTGTGCAATTATTATAATTTTTTATGTTTTATTTTCTTTATTAAATTATAGGTTTGAAACTACACGAAAAATAAGTTTCTCTATTACGAATATTCAATTAGTATTTTAGACATTTGTTGTTTGTGTTATGTTGGATTATATTATATTGCATTATGTGGTGTTAGATTTACATGAGAGACAAGTTTTTAATTATATTATGTGAGATTATGTTGTCGATAAGCTTTCAAAATGTTGGTTTGGATTAGGCTTGGGCTTGCACTTGGACTTGGGCAGGGGCGGCAGTTGAAGGCAGGGGGCGGGGATTACAATTTGTCCGCGGCTGGGAAGGAGATAAAAACTATCTCCGTTAACGATAGTGGACTAGAAATAGACATAATTTTTTAAGTACATACGGAAATGGAGACTACACTCCTTGTNTGCTCCTCGTATTTGTCTAACACTCTCTAAAGCAATAACTTACGTGCCCGTCTAAAGAAACAACGTTTATGTTGACAGGACATGGGGTACACACAGTCCCACGGGCACGAGCCTTCCGCCAGTCAGCATGCGATGACTATTAACTAGTAAGGAAGCAACTCAGCGGATTCAATTATAAAATTCTCAACAGCGACTTCAATATGAATTTGAATTTTTTACTTAAAGCTTTGAATTTGGGATAATGTTATATCTTTTGAATTGAAAAATAAGACTTAATTTGAGATTACTAATTTGGACTAGAAATCTGGTTCATATCATGTTAAACTTCAGAAAAATCTGGTTCATTTCATGTTAAACTTCAGAATAAATTCAAAGTTGACCACTTTGAGTATCGTTTTCAAATGGATACGAAACTACTCCACATAATTAGGATAATTAATAAGCTCATGTGTTTTGAGACAAGTGATTAGGGATGATAGTGGATCGAGGGAATAACGGATATTTGTCCAAATCTGTCACGTTTGGATAGATTATACGTATTGAACTGTAGACGTATACTAGAAAACCCGTATAAATTCGTACCAAAATGAAGGCGGGAATGGACTTACTCTTACCCCCTTCCCGCTCCCCCCCCCCCCCCTCCCTCTCTGGTCCATTATGATCCCTACCATTGAGGCTGCAATTCATAGAGATTCAGTACGCTGGGTATGACTCTTCCCAATGTTATAAAAAATCTGTGTTTTTGGCATCCAGTTCTTTGCATATAATCACAATCTTGAAATAATTGGTGCAAATTAGGATATGAATGTGAAGACCCCAGTGCTACAAAAACCAAACTGAGGAAACGCTTTACCAATGCTCAACGAGAAAATTATATTTTGACCCTCCTCAATTACAACCTTTTTCTTGCTTAGTCCTCTCGATTACTGTACTTCCCATATCACCCTTTCAATTATGTTGTCAGTTTCAAATTCTCTCAATAATTAATATCCATTATAAAATTGTAAAAATTGAACCAAGTATAATATGAAAAATTCTTTTGTCAATAAGGACAGACGCAATCTCTTTAGATTATAAAAGAAACATATTATGTACTTTTTTTTAAGTAGGTTCAATAGTTGTTTTACTTTTTTTTTATTTCATATTTTGACTTTCAATAGCTCTCTTCTTTAATTCTCTGTCCTCTCCTCTCTCTTCTCTCTCATCCTTTATTTTATCCGTCTAACTATTTTTTACTTCTCTCTCTTTTTTAATTTCTCCATCATTTGTCTTCCATTCAACTACTTCTCTCTCATCTCCATTTCGTCCCTTTAATTTCTTTCTCCTATCTATACCTTTAATTTTTCTCTCTAATTTTAACGTTCTTCGCCAATATATGATTTATTTAGATTCCTCTTTCTCCTCTATTTATATATCACTCGTTATCTTTCCTCTCTCTTCCCCTATCTCTCATACCTTATTTATATTTTTGTCTTTCTTTATCTTATCTTTTTCATTCAATTATTTATATCTTCTCTCATTTCCTTCTATTTTCTTTATTTTATCTCTTTTTTCTATTATATATTGTTAAGAGATTGTGTCCATCTTTACCTTCAAAAAATCATCATAGTTGTTGTAAATCTGAAGAACTCATGGTGGTGATGCTCTTTGCACAACTTCTTTTGTTGACAATATTTTTTGAAGGGATAGATAATGGCCATGTGAGCTCATATATATATATAAGAAATACATAGTGTCACTGTGGGGCTACACTGACACCATGTATTGTAAAATTTTTATTTTATTTTTTTTAACATTTTTGTGTTCGTTCTTCTTGTGAGATAGAAGTTTGAGTAACTGTTACAACACCCAAGACAGTAACAGTGAAATTTTTTTACTATCATAGAGGCTTTATTACTACTCTGAACAATAATAGCGACAATGTCACTCTTCCAAAGACAGTAACAGTGAAGTATTTTTATTATCTTAGGGCAATGAAGTGTGTATATATATATATAGTGTTGTAATGTGTATTTTTTATTTTTGTACATATTATATATATTAAAAATTCTAAAATAAAGGAGATTTGAATCTATTTTAAATTTTGAAATGTGAATTTTATATGGATAGTTTAATTATAAAAGATCTAAAATTAAGGATATTTGATTTTGTTTGATTTTAGAATTGTGTATTTGATTTTATTTGAATTTTGAATTGCGTATTTAAAGAAAATAGGGTATTTTCATCTTTGCACACGTTATTGTCCTTAAAAATTTCAAAAAGTTTGTACTTTGACTTTTTCTCATAAAAGACTATAATAATGGACGGGCTTGCAAAAAAACCCTTCAAAATTTAAGGAACAGTTAGGTTCATTTTTCCTCTCGAATTATGTGTTTGTTTTATTTTACCCTCGATACATTGAGAATTTTTTTTTCAAAAAGATACAAAAGTTTGTGTTTGGAGCAAAGTGAAATCGATT